AGATTGAGCAAAGAAAAAATAGCACAAGTTGTGGCAGACGCATGTGCATGTTTCTCGGCATTAGAAAATGCACATGAGGTAGATTGCATCAGTAAGATAAGTGTCACAATAAGACATTTTGTGATTTGGGAACACCTAAACAAGTGAATGCAACACTGAGCGTTGACTGTCTATATGTAATTTTCTCCAATTTCTTCTCAGAGCTTTAGGAGGAAGGAAAATGAGTTTCATATTAATTCTCCTCTGAGTGGGGACATGACAGCTCACAGACAAGAAGATGCAAAACAGCCATTATAGCCATTTGAACTGTCATTAAACTTCAGCAAGTCATTTGGTCATGCTGTGCAGTGAGTAAGCTTTTGACAAATAAGGCAGGATTTCTTTTACACATTCCTAGTCACACAACCAGTCCTCCTGAGAATCTGCTCTACATTTTAAGACTTGTGCTCATGGGTCCGTCTGCCACCATAGGCTCTTAAACAATTTTTAATAGGGAACATCTACAAAAAAAACTGTGCTAATACCAGTTTCACAATTACTAACAATGCCTGTCTATATTTATCCACCACCTTATATTAGTGTCATGTTTGCCTCCAGAAGGCGAGGTACAGAATTAGCTGTGATTTAAAATAAAGAGACAAGCTGTATCCCCCAACATGCAACACTACATCAGCTTCACTCTCTCCACTGTCAGTCTGAACCAGATACACAGAGCAGCACTGATATGTCTCAGACTTTATTAATCCTGATAAGAGAATCAATAGAGCTCTATTGTAGAAACAGCTTCCCTGATTTTGATTTGTGTTGACTAGGATGGTACATTATGTGCTAACAGGATGTCGCCTATGTGCGAATGAACACACACTCACTGGGAGGAGGTGAATTTACAAGAACAATATGAGCGATTCACTGAATAATTAAAGTTGTGCTCTGGGTGAACAGAGAAAGCATACAGGTCACACATTTTTTATTTATCTTCCAAAACTAATACTTCAGCACTAGTGCCACTCTTCAGTACTGCTTTGGACTGCTTGTTTTGCCTGAGGCTTGATAGAGAGCACATCTTATAGTCGTTAGAAAGCACACCGTATCTAACAACTGTGGCCCAACGGTGGCGATTTTCATTTCATGTAAACCAGAGGAACGAATAAATGCGCTGCAAGAAAAAAAACATGAACAGAAGAAAGTTTAAAAATGCATAAATGCTCTTAAGTCACTCTGCGCAGACATTAATATTTATACAAGCCAGATGAAATGGAAAAGAATTTATAGCTACTTACCTGAACTGCCCCGCTAAGCCTCTTAAACTTCTAATTTTTGCAAAAGAATCGCAACATTTTTACTTTACATTTGCTCAGCTTCTCATTTGAAAGCACCACAGAAAACCTACACGGTTTCAAGCAAGATGTGGCATTTATATCTTGTACTGTTCAACAACTGGGAGTACAAACCGCAAGGGATTCTCCTTAAAATATCCTGGGTCATTCATTTCTAATATGCAGGCTTGTATAGAAGCATGAAATACCTGGCTCTTGGATATATGCTGGGCAAATGGCTGCTGTTAGGCATGTGGTCAAAGTGATTGGCTTAAAACACATCTTGTTTGGCTTCAGTTTGCAAATTGCTGCCCTGCATTTTCACAGTTCTTTTTTTTTTTTGCATTGTTTTAATTAACACCTGCTCATGGGATGTTAGGGCCTACTTCTATTCTTAGTCTGACCTATTTTGTGGTTTAAAATTTGTATTTTTTTTCCTGAATGCAAATGAGGGCTGCTAATGTGACCTAGGAGGATGAGAATAATCACCTACATTGTCTCTGGTGTCACATCACTTTGCTGTGAAAACACGCAGAATCCTGCAGTTAAGCTATCAGTTGTGAAGAGTTTTGTAATGGCCTCCCTGCTGTGTGGAACCGCAATCTATTAAATATTCTGCTTTGGCTTCTTTAATAGTCTGACTTAAAACAATGCATTTATTGTTGCATGTTTGACATCCTAAAAAACTGAAAGTCTATTTCCTGATTTGACAGGAAGAAGAAAAAAAGATTTGTTTACATAGCTAAGATAATCCAAGCATTTCAAAGCATATTAGCTGCACATGTCACATGTCAGATCTGTGTTAAAAATATAACAATCCATGTAATTACAAATGTTGGTGACAGTGAAAGAATAAAACCTGTAATCTCTGCTGTCACAAGAACCAATCCCTGTAATTAACTTACTCATCAACTTTTTCGCGCAAGGGCGAAAAATCTGTCACCTCCTCTATCTAATTTCTGAACTGCACATATGTTTGAGACAAACATTCAAACAATATTTTATTTACTGTTTGATTGCTGTATTCATTCACTCCTGGGTGATGCAGGAAACTGCAGCTGTACAGTTCTTTGTACTTCTCCTATTATCTAACGGGAAACTCTTCACACAGTTCAGTCAGTATATTACAGCCTCAATATCTAAACCTGAGCCTGATAAAAATGTAATATTGACTCACCAGGGTGCTATCTAAACCTTCACTGGACAAGGTGTCTCAATGCTTTTCGGTATGCTTTTCACACTGGTGGATCAAACCAACAGGCGTGTTCAGCTAATACTAAGCAGCAGCAGAGCAAAGTTGAATCAAAGGTGATCAGACAGCAGTTGATTGTGGGTGTGTATCAGAGGTTTGGTGGGTAATGACACTACACCTGAGTCTATTACAGAGATAACAGTAGTGTTAAATGAAAAGTCCAGATTTGGACACTCTGGACACTCACACTTGGGGCAGGTCGGTTATTTTGTGAAATGAATGGTGCTGTTTTCTTGGCAACAAGTTCATCAGCCTTATGACTAACACACGAGTTACATAAGGTGACAGTGCTGGGTGGCGGAGTTGTGATATGCTGTTCTCAGCTCTTAGCTAAACTGTTGGCTGACACAGATTAGTTTGGAAACTGCTCAGCCTGTCAAGCCAGCAGATTAAAACCATCCTCTTAGCGTATTGTTGAAATCAGAAGCAAAATGAAAAGTATTATTCTGAAATCCCACACCCCACCCTCCCCCCAAAGAAATTGACCAGATAAGTCATTTCCGCAAGCTCTTATGAACTAGAGTTGCATTTTGGAGATAAGTAGCCTACAGGAGCTGTGTTAATATCTGAGTGATCCAGGGTGACACACAGGTAGGGACGGGGGTGGGCGCCTAAAAATTGTATCATGATATTTCAAAGACATCTGCAAGAATTATATTTCTGATGATGTAGAGAAATAATCCTCAACAATGTTTTATCTGAGATTGCAGCTTGCCTGCAGCACTGTTTATTTGTGCAAACAAAATAATGGACATTTTCTGTCCTTCATTTCCAATGAGCTGCTGTCATCGATGACAGACGATCTCATTCAAAGTGTGCTTCTACTGAAACAAGGTGCCCCCAGCAGCAGAAATATCACAGTGCAATAGTAGTGGCACAGCATTATATTCAGTGATGCAGCATAAGACAAATGTAAGTGTAAAAGGAGCCTGATTAGTGGTTTCAGTGGAAATTTTGGTGGTTTGCATTTGGATTGTGGGGACACACAGTTATTTGATACTTTTAAGCAATTATTAAAGTAACTTGTATCTAATCAGCAACCAGCACAATAAAACTGAAGCTGAAAACATTTTCTACCTGGGATGTTGTTACTTAGGTCAAACAATTTGCTTAATGTCCTGTTTTTCCACCATTTCAATTGACATCATATTATTACATATACTTGCCCAAAAAATATGAAGCAGCACTGGTAATTTCTACCATTTGTGCTTCCTGTCATAGGGAGTGAGGCCCGCGAGTGCTACAATGATGCTCAGTTATACCATTTTTGGGCCTCCTTGCATTTCATGGTGTGTTTTCACATCAAGTGATGAAAAATACTTTGCTAAGTATTGTGCTTTGTTGGAAGATGTTCAAATATCTCCCTTTTTACTAAATGTCTGGGTGTGTCTTGTTGTTTTGCGCAATAAGGAATTTGCACAATAACCATTGCTATAGCAGTGATATCACAATATGACACTTTTTACACATAAAAGTTTTGTATATTATGCTGTTTTATATTGTATGATACAGCCCAAGTGGAAGGCGTCCATAGAGTCCATTGTTTGGTCACACCAGACAAATCTCAAACCCCAGTCTAACTGTTAGAAGTCGAGGATGTGAATACTGAACACCTGTTTAAGATAAGGAGATTTTTAAAGAAAGCAGGCTAGTATTAAGGTCCAATGTTTAGTAGACCCATCCATCCACCACAACCTCCTCCCAATGGAGGCTTTCATTGTTTCATATCCTCTCTTATTTTGGACACTAGAAGGTGCTGCTATGATAACAGTTATACAATAGTTCTAATGGGCAGTCAGTCTCAATTTTACAGCAGATCACCTTGCTCGCTCTCTCGCACACACACTCTCTCTCTCTGCTGATACTGGAACACCAGCGCAATGCTAAATTGTCCAGCTGTCTATTGGAACAAACAAAATTCCCCCTCCAGTAAAATCAAACCAAGAGATGCCCTCACATACATGTAGGTAGCTTACAGAAGCAGAGATTTGAGCGATCTTAGGTGTATTTGCCCTTTAAGTGAAAAGCACACACGCACATTCTTAAGCAGCTGTTCCTGTAACAGGAGGTTTAATAATGATCACTGATTCGCTGTCTATGCCGCTTTACTTGTGAACACAGGGGGGGTACTAATAATAAGCCTGTGGAAAAATTATCTAATTAGGGTAGAAATTAAAATTCATAAGACGGTGGGCTAAATGAGAGATCATTAAGCTGCTGGATTTGTTTGTTATTGCTTATATTAACGGGCGGTTGTTTGCAGCACAAATCATTTTTTTCATGAAGTCTTGCTGTAATTAACGCACTTGCTAATGTTGCGCTCTTTTGCTTTGCGCTATTTCTTTTTCCACAACTGTCTAAATAATTTTCCACAAAATGCTCCACAGTTTCCCACACGTTAAGGAACTTTTTTCCACGATGGAAAGACTTACTCGTTGTGTTGTACTTCACCCCATTAATGTACTCAGGGCAAGGTCTTTCTACAATCCTGCCAGTGCTGCTCCGTGGCCAGCAGGTTCCAATCTCATCGGTTGTGGCATTGCAATATAAACCTTTTAGGGGGGAAACATAATAAATGAAAATAAAATAAAAGATAAAGGTCGACGCTTAGCTTTCTATTTTTAAGATGTAACAGCAAAACATCTCAATACTGAGGAAGGAGAATGAAGCAATTCCGCCTTACCATCAGTGCTCAGCAATGACAATGAAGCATTTGCCAAAAAAGTGTCCTGGAAAGCCTCTATTAAACTACAATTTAGGTCCCCGAGCTCTCCAAATATGATCTCATAAACAGTAGCATCCATAGTGCGAGCCGCCACTTTTGGTCTGAATAATGTGCAAGTCCGAGAGGAGATAGGCACACTGCCGTGCCCAGCCGTGTTCGTGGGCATGTGAATCGGTGCAACCGTAATGACAAGTAGAGAGCCCGGCGCGCCTTCTGGAGAGCGCGCGCCTGGCCAATCAGATCCGCGGATCCGCTCATCCCTCCACGTGAAAGACAGCCGTCACACCGCACTGACCGGATCATGAGCCTTGTTACTCTGACATTTCACACCTGCTACCCACCTGTCATGTTTATTTATGAGGAAAAAGTCGCTGCGTTTGAAATGCAAAGTAGCGTGTGTGGGAGCGATTTAGAATGAAATGTACAGCCAGGTTACCTGTTGTTGCGAGTGAAACTTGAATGGAAGGGAAAGAAACAGAACAGAACAGAAAGCAGCAAGAAGAATACTGGGTTCAGTTATTGGTTTTATATTTGTATCATAGAGCCCTTTTTTCTGTATGCAAATAGTAAACGGACGTTTTCAGGGCAGGAAGCTGAAAAGCTGATTGTATGTCGTACAATAATTAGACTCGGTGATGACGTCGGCTCCTTTGGCTTTTGTTTCTAAATAGCACTAAGGACACAACTCTGTCGGTACTCTTTAAGATGATGCAGAGCTTAATCTGGAATGTTTGGACATAACCAAGTTTAATTTTTGCTTTGGATTGCTGTTATCATTTCCTGTTTTACTTTGAAATCTGTAATTCTTATGTGTTTTTGCTTTACTTTTTCCATTATTGTCTTCACCTTGTAATATAAAGCACCTTGAGGAGAAGCTGTGATTTGGCACTATATAAATACAACTAATTGAAGATTGAATTCAACTGAATTAAGTTGAACTGATTTGTTTTCTGTCACTTTTGCACACCATCCTTAACCTATTATGTAATGGAGTCACTATAAGGCAGTATACTTAAACCTGACTCTCCAACTAGATGCTTGTACTCCTTATACTCAAGCCTTCTAGTAATTTCTTGGTTCTCTCTGGGTTTTGTTTTTTTTTTTTTTTGGCTTTATCTGCATGCAAAAGGACATACAAGCTCCCTGACCTATGCTTCAGCCAGAACCCCTTCAAGTTTGTTTTCATTGTTGTGTCCACAGATTTTCAGAATACGTGCCCTTTCTGCTTTCCCCTTGTCTCTTCTGGTTATCTTGTGTTTGACCCTTGCTGTGATCATTAATCTTTGGATTTTTGGACTTTTTCTTGCCCCTGGTGTCCTGGATTTGGGTTGTCTCCTCCTGTAAATCGTTACGAGGTTACCCGAGGACTGTGAAAGAACCAAATGTGCTTCTAGTAGCAGAAAAGCTGTATCTCTGGCATTAAAGTCTGACACCTGGAAGCCAACCACCCACCTCAGCAGAGGGTTTTTGTGAACGTATCTTGTCAGCTCCAAATGTGCACCTGATACATTTTTCCCATTCACAAAAACCGGAAGCATTTAAACAAATGCCATGGTGCAGTAGAGGGTAGTCTCTTTGAAGACTGAGGAAAGTACAAACTAAATAAAAAATACTACTGTGTACCTTCAGAGTGTGTACACTCACAACTGTTTATTTTTCATGAAACAGCCCGATTTTGCACTTTTGTACATCGAGTAGTTTTTCTGTAAAAAGGTGAAAATAATTATGACCACAATGGCACTGATCATGCAGACCAACACTCCCTGCCAGGTTTACAGTTTTGAGTACCCTTTGAGTGAAAGTACAGTTCATTCCACAAATGAGTGAATCAAAATACTGAATGCTTCTTATTAAAGATGTGGTCTGTTTTGCTTTAAACAGTCATTTTTTATTTATTGTTATTTTTTTCGACAATTTTGATGTTTTAATTACTACAACGTAAAAGTGAGATTCACGCAGCTCTATTCCCAATAATTTCTGCTAACTATGGGGCAAAACAAAACAAAATAAACTGTATCAATAATAAAATCTCATGGCTTACATTATTTGATTAAATCTTCCAGTTCCTCATAAATTCTGGAGCTGCAAATATAGCACGACGAAAAATTCTAATGTTTTGTCTCAAACTTCGATTCAGATTAATGAAAAGTGTCTAGACTGCAAATGTGACTCATAACAGAGTTTAATATCTTGGCTGTTTACTGTTAAATGTGAGACGTGACCTTTTCACCAGCGAGAGGCTTTCTGTCTAAGCTCCCTCTTAGCTTCCACATGCAGAACTCCATGTCACTTTACGCTCCAGTCATGCAGTCATAGATCGGATTGTTGGGTTGACCTGGCCATGTGATGAACACTGTTGTAATTACCCAGCTATAAATAGTGCACCAAAAAGTTAATTAATTCTCCCACAGCATCCACTCTGTGTTATATTGCTTCCAGGTATGGGAAGGCAAAAAAGCACTTTAGGTTGAAGAAAAGAAAACATCTTTCATTGTTTGATTCTCGGGATATCTGAGATTATTAGCTTTGTGAATAGCTTTAGAACAAATTTCTTCCATTTGTCACCTGGAGAACAAAATGCTTCCAATCATTAACGTAATGTCAATAAAGAAGTCGCTGTCTCTTTGTAACTTACCTAATCTATTTTTTCCTGGTCGTAAGTGAAAAACAGATGAAAGCCTCTCTGCTGCTCACACAGAAAACACTTTCCTTCAACAAAAAGAAACCAAGCTTAGAAGACATCAAACCTGGCTCAAAGTGAAAATTTCATTACTGGATCCTAAAAAAACCCAATGCAAGTTCCCTTTTTTTTCCCACTGAATTTTCCAGCCAATCTAGGGTAAAAAAACAAAAAAACAAAAAAACAAAAACCAAAAAGCAAACTGCAGCACAAAACTGCTGAAGCCACAGTTTAAACTTTAATCAGTGAATTTTCCTTCAGGTACAATGAAATTGTAGCAAATGAAATTTAACAATGATTGTCAGATGCAGCCCACAGATTGATTTGACCACTGAAATGACCTAAAACTTTTGCAGCAACACACAACCTAATGTTTAGTTCTCAGATTGGTCGAAATATGCGCCCATATGCTCATAAGACATTTTTCACTTCCTGATTTCCTCGTTTTTGTATATTTGTAACACTTTAATGTTTCTTTAAACAAACCTTGATTTTAAGAAAAGCTCCTCTGAGTATGAATGCAGAAGGCAGTTTTTTAAACTATGATTCCATTTATTTTTTCATTTATTAAGGGAAAAAAATAACATTCAAACCTACCTGGCACTGTGTGAAAATTATCCAGGAATAGAGAAAAAACTCGAAAGGCCAGCCTGTCAAAATTACTTCGAGGGGACATCAACAAAGGCGGTCACAAAAAACCCTAAGAATAAGATCTAAAGAACTGCAGGCCTCACTTTAGGTCAGTTAAGGTCAAAGTTTGTAATTCAGCAATAAGATAGAAACGGAGCAAAAATGGCATCCATGGGAGAATTCCGAGAAAAACACAGCTGACCAAAAAGGAGCAATCTTGACTCGCATTTGATGATCCTTGAGATTTTTCAGAAAGTATTCTGTGAATTGTAAAGTCTAAGCAAAAAATACTTTTTCACAGCAGTGGACTGTGTCTTATTAAGTTGCTGGGCTGGCAGAACAGCTCCAGTGTGACTTCTAGAAGTCTCTGAATCTCTGTTTTAGCAGTGAAACAAAAAGATATTTCCTCATTTGTGTTTTAATGATGCTGGAAAGCATTTTGTTCAGAGGGGTTCAACAAGGATAAGAGCCAGCCGTGACCGCGAAGGCCAAATCATATGATTTACAACACTGACATATTCATCAAGTCATCTGGTGACCTTCCATGCCCTGTGGATTGGGGTATTGTCACTTTGGAAGAAAACACTCCCCTCAGGATAAAACCTTTCATAATAGGTTAGAGGTGACCAATTAGAGTTCCTTTGTATTGATTTTGACTGACCTCCCTGCAAAGGGGACATGAGCCCAAACAATGCCAGCAAAATACCCTGCACAGCATAACCAGAGCCCTTCACTCTTGGCCAAAAGATCTGATTTTTTTTTTTTTACATAATTTTTCAGCTGCCTTTTGACTTCAGTTATTTAAATGTTTTGACCTGATTAATGCCGATATTTTACAAAAAGCATCAAGTAAATTTGTTTTGGTCTTAAAACTTAATGCTCACAATTTTTCAGTGGAAAATCAGAAGAAAATGAATCTGCTTTAAGAACATATATAAATGTGATGCATATATTTCACCGCAGCAGATTTGTGATGGAATGAAAAACTTTTTTCTGCTTGCATGCCATTTCATTATATATAATCATCCTCATGATTTCAGCACTTTTTTGTTTGAACAACAGTGTGTTCACTTTGAGCTCAGATGAGGGACATTTCATCACGGTTGCGCGGCCCCATGCTTGCATCTCTGAGCCTCAGATCTGGGAGCCCGAGTACCTCAGGACCCAAAGGCATTTAAACCTAACCCCACATAACTCAAGCACACATTCTGATTTCTAAAAGCTTGTTGACTCTTATGTGGGACTTCTCTTTGCTATCCTTAGCCTAAGGGTACTTGATGACTCAGGGTTTCATTTGGTAATATAAGTAGATAAGATGCAAGTTTCATCTGCCTCAGGATGACTAATCAGATATGCTGTATCAGAGTTCCCTATATTACTTGAAATTCTCTTTGTCAGTTACTCTGAGTCTAATTGACCTGTTTCTAAAGACTGCAGCCTATACAGCTGAGCTATTCTGTACAAAAATGGTCTCCTTCGCTTCGCAAAGACAGACCCAAACTCCTAAGAAAGCTATGATATGTTGGCTAAATATGCACAAGAGTAGCTCGGAGCAAGGACAAACAAGAGAGCAACCAACCGCAGAGCGAAAACTGTAGGGGGGAGGACACAAAGTGCACTTCAGAGCACCTCGATGATCTTCCAGGTTAAAAACAACTGCACACAACAAAAAATTATACCGGATAAAAGCAACAAAAAAGGTCAAAGCAATAACTTTTTGGTGAAAAATACAGAAAGCCAATGGATACTATAGAGGGCAGTGACACGTTTTGACTGATTTTAACATTATCATTAACATTTTATACATTATCGAAGGGCTTAATGATAATGAGCAAGGCTGAGA